TAAAGAAGCTTTTATTTTTAAGGTCAGGAGCAACAGGACAAGTGAACAGGGGCTGTGGAGCAGAACCTGACAAACAGATCAAGTGCTAATAAAACAGGTTTTACAATTTTTTTTGTCATTTTAATTAATTTATTTTTTTATTTTTTTTATTTAATTTTATTCTTGTGAAGCCCTGTGTGATTTTTATCTTGAGAGGCACCATAAAAGATCATTTTTTCTTCTTCTTTTTCTATATTTCAATCAATCAATCAATCAATTAAAGCTTTATTTATAAAGCGCCTTCCGCAACCCTGTCAGGAAGCCCAAGGCGCTGAACACGGTACAGTAGAAAGTTAAATATAGTGAATAAATCAGAAAATAAAGCAATTCAACAACACATATTTGTGTTTATGACAGGGCTCTGTATCAGGGCGGTGGATGGTGTACTAAAGGGGCGGTGTACGGTGTTTCGAATGACGTTTCTGAGTTGCAGGTGTTTGACTTCCTGTGTGGAGCAGCGTTTGTTTGTTGTAAACAAACAACACATATTTGTGTTCTTTTAAAAAACATTGCAGACACAAAGACAGTCCGAGGGCGGTAGCTGTAACTAATCTCTCTACCGGACGTTTCAGGAGCGACAGGTGATGTTCAGAGGGAGGACAGCAGAAGTGGACAGAAGACTTTGTTGCATGTTCATAACTGCAGAGCAGCGGATCCTGAGAAAGTTCTGATGTGTCGGGACGATTCTGGACACGAGACAATTTCACTGGAATTTTATAAAAAGTGACATTTATGCAAAAGTCTTGTACAGTGGGTAAATACGTACTCGACTTACTATTTCATATCGTTTTAGTGAGTTTTCTTGGGTTCCCCTGATGTTTCACATTTGCCACTCTTCGTGGATTTACTCACGAATACACACACACACACACACACACACACACACACACACACACACACACACACACACACACACACACACACACACACACACACACACACACACACACACACACACTTCCCTCTCCCCAGCCACTCGGGCCAGCTCCTCCGGGGGAATCCCAAGGCGTTCGCTGGCCAGGTGAGAGACGTAGTCCCTCAAGCGTGTCCTGGGTCTCCCTTTAGGTCTCCTTCCGGTTGGACGTACCCGGAAAACCTCACCAAGAAGGCGTCCAGGAGGCATCCTGACCAGTTGCCCGATCCATCTCAACTTTCTGCTCTCCATGTGGATGAGCAGCCAATCTACTCCGAGCCCCTCCCGTATGACCGAGCCTCTCACCCTATCTCTAAGGGAGAGCCCAGACACTGCGGAGAAAACTCATTTCCACCGCTTGTATCCGCGATCTCGTTCTTTCGGTCGCTACCCAAAGCTCGTGGCCATAGGTGAGGGTAGGAACGTAGATCGACCGGTAAATCGAGAGCTTCGCCTTCTGACTCAGCTCTCTCTTCACCACGACAGACCGGTACAACGCCCGCATCACTGCAGATGCAGCACCAATCCGCCTACCAACAAAAGCCATAATAGCTTACTGCCTTTGTGTGTTTGCATGTAATCTGGTTAGTTTCTTCTTCCTTTTCTATAAGTGTTTGTGCTGCAGCAGCAAATGAATGTCCTCATAGTGGGATCAATATATTCTATTCTGTTCTATTCTGTTCTGTTCTATTCTGTTCAATTCTATTCTATTCTATTCTATTCTATTCTATTCTATTCAATTCCGTTCTATTCTATTCCGTTCTATTCTGTTCCGTTCCGTTCCGTTCCGTTCCGTTCTGTTCTGTTCAATTCAATTCAATTCAATTCAATTCAATTCAATTCCATTCAATTCCATTCCATTCCATTCAATTCCATTCAATTCAATTCCATTCCATTCAATTCCGTTCCGTTCCGTTCCGTTCTGTTCTGTTCTGTTCTGTTCTATTCTATTCTATGCAGTCTGGGTTCAGAATTGTCCATGTTTTTGTCCCTAGCATTACATTTAGAAAGCTTTAATTTAGGGCTACAACTTCTGTCATTTATGGTTTGCTTTGACAGCACAGCGAGACGTTTCTGTTGTTCTTTTCTTCAGACTTCAGTGATTAAGATCTGTTTAACTTAGAGGCTCTCGGAGTTCAGTATTTATTGGTTTAGGCAGCTCCCTCCTCCCTTAATTCCTTCCATTTATGTGCCTTCATTCTTTTTTTAATCTCTGCTTTCTTACAAAAAACGGTAAACTCTTTCAAACACATATCTCAGTTATACCCCAGTGTAAACACTGTAAGCAGAACCTTGCATATCTTTATTTGCCTTAGACACGTTTCAGTCTTAAAATGATTCAGTAGAGAAGGCAGAGCCTTTTTGCTGTTTGCTACCTTTTAAAGATCACAGTCAGACTTTTTTCACCACTTTAACACCTCTTTTATTCTGCTCTAGCCCTGATGTAAGTCACATTTAAAACAGTTGTTAGTTACTGTCTAGATATGCTTTTACTGAGTCTTTTCTTATTATTCTGGATGATCGTTTCATGGCAAATGTTCAGACTAACAGGTTAATCTGTTGTTTGGAAGCTCTTGTGGCGCTTTATAGTTACATCTGTGTTCTGTTAAAGAGATCGGTCATTTCTCAGATAAAACACTTCCTGGATGGTTCTTGGGGGAAGACCTCTACCATGTTATCTGAGGCGTGGGAGTAGGGGAGGGAGGAGAAAGAGGAGGAGAGATCCCAGCAACGCAGGAAAACTCCCAGATACAAACCAAAACAGACACATGGCCTGGTTACCAGGAGGCAGAAATAGGACTGGAAGTTGGGAAAGACTCGGTTACAGAGAGGGATTTTTCATGCATGATAGATCCCTGTAGACCCAGCTTAGGAGGTTTTACAACGCCTACTGGCATTTCAGAAATTCTGAGGATAGAAATGTTTTAAAAGGTGCAGATGTGATAAACCGATTTAATAATACAAATGAAGCTAACTGACAGCCAAGCACCAGATGCCTAAAGGCTCGCCATGAACTGCAGACCTATATTCATACAATTTACTTTCTAAATGGTACCAGCGGAGAGCAGCTCCCAGGAAAAAGGGCTCACTCTGCAGCCCACACACTTTACCTCAGATGAGGTAAAGGTGAGACGTTTTAACCCTTTGTGGACTATGGCCTGTGGTTGGGTCAAATCATGTTCATGAAGTTCTTTGCACAAAATCCTGCTCACATGAAGCATTTTCAGCAGTTATATTCATGACGTTTTTAGTACCTTCCAGAATGAGCCATTTCAGGGCTTCGTCACTTTAAGACAATGGGCTGGAACTTGTTGCACTCACCCATGACCCGCTCAGGCTGCTAGAGGCCTACGGTGGGAAGGTCTGATGTCGGTGAGGGACTCTGAGGTAATTCTACTCGAATTACCTCGTTTGTGACATCACAAATGGGAACATTTAAAAATGACTTGTTTTAGCTCTAATTTCTAAAACCATACACTGACGGATAATGGGTGACAGTTTTTTTCTCACTATTTGAGTGTTTATAGAGGCAGTAGATACAAACATGACGGCACAAAAAGATGCAGAAGGTGAGTTTTGCACAAAATGTCCCGTTTAAAGCAGCCAGATGAAGTATTAGGATTAGTACCTTCACCATAAACCTGCCACATCCAGCCCTATACATGTTTACCGCCCTCTGGTGGAAGATCTGCAGGAGGAAAGGACCTATTTTATTTATCTATTACTGTCAGATGAATTACATATTTACGGGAAAAAAGTAAAAACTGACTATCGTTGTTTTATTAACAGTAAACAACAACAAGCTTGTTTTAGAAATATGTTTGCACAACTGTTGTTTCAGGAATTAAGGAGTTAAAACAAGCGTGGCTGAATTTCAAGTGCTGCTCATGATCTGTTGTTTGTGACGGAATAATTACAAACGATAAGATGCTGAGTGAGTGAGGATATCACTAACAGCTCATTTGTGGGTGAATCTCATTTTCTGCCTTTATGTCTGCCTTTAATCTGACATAATCAAGTTTAGCGTGCTGTAACTTGTCTCCTGCGCGCTCACTTGACTATTAAAGCATCGGTCTTGTTATAGATGAGTGAGAGGAGCTGATTGTGAAACACCTGCGAGGAACAAACTGGAGTCTGCAGGCAGTTTGTTGAATACTGAAGAACTTTCTAAGGCTTTTTGTTAACACCTGAGACTGACATCATCCCCTTTGGTGAAATAGCAAAGATCATAAAGATGACCTTTAACCTTGCCCACTGTTGCCATGGTTCTTCAGCCTCCTCTTGCCTGGGGTCTGAACAGGGAGGAGGCAGGCAGGGCTCCAGGCGAGAAACGGGAGATTCAGAGAGCAAGCGAGGATGCGTAACCACAACAGGTGGTGTTGATTTGAGGAAGTTCAGCCTTTCCAATCGCTGGAACTAAACCCAGTACACGACCAAGGCAGATCAAAGGATGCTTCGCCGCGGTGTGCGAAAATCCTTGTCAAACCACTCGATTTCCTCCCCGGAGCACCGTTTTCCTCCCTCCGGCGTGCATATTTTCTCTCCACTTCAGCTTCTTGTGAGAAAGAATTACTCGCAGATGCTGAAGACAAACGGTCATTTCCTTAAACAGTTTTTTTTAGTGTGAATTTATCATAACTGAGGTTTCCACTGTTCTGCTAATAGTTTCTCTCTCGCTGTTCCCTCGTGCACTCGAGAGCACTCCGAGTGCAGGAAGGGCAGATGTGAAGCGAGGATCTCGATCCCACCCGTCACGATACTCTGAGTGAACGGGATTACCCAGCCCAGTACGCAGAAGCACGTGAACTATACCGACCCCCCCCACAGGCGCTGCAATGTAGAAGTTGGCTGTGCACCAAGCCTCAGGTCCCCAAGGCTCGTATCCTCTACAATTCACACTCTGTCAGATTCAGCTGCCAGCAACCGGGTGCACGCACACACACACACACACACACACACACACACACACACACACACACACACACACACACACACACAC